ATTAATTAAATGTTAGCATCTATTTATAAATCAACATTTAAATTCAAAATTGAGTGATTTCCATTTGCTACTCTTTGAAGTAGCGTGGCACATCCACTGATCACATGCAGAGTTCATTTCAGTTCCTTATCTTAATTTGTTTTGGGTCCAAAGGTGTCAGAAAAAAGAGAAAGGAGTAATTTTCTATAAATGATAGAAAACATGAGAGCTACATACAAAAATATTGAATCTAGAATACTCTTTTGTACTGTTTTTTAGGGTGATTTTTCTGATATAAAAGGCGAAATTTTTTAATGAGAAATTTAAATTAAAGTGTTGTAATTTTCTTGCCAATTTCCCCACTTTTTTTCTTTGAACTGTTACAATTTAAGGTAAAAGGAAAAAAAATATTTATACAATATTATTGTTATTTAAATTTTAGTACCCGTCAAAATATTAGCTACTCCAGCCAACAGGCCCTTTTTTTCTCCTTTGAACCATAAGAAAATCAACATAAACACTGTTTTGTCTTGAAAGGCAAAAAGATCAAATTCACCCTCAAACTTGTCAAGTTGACCCAAACTAGCAACTGTGCTTTTTACTGCCCACAAATCAGCCCCTGAACTTACAATTCAGGCAACTCTTTAACCGCTGGCGTCCCCTCAAGTCAACTACCCGTCAAGCATTGTTTTTAACAATTCGGCAGCTATCTCTTTGAGAAGAACTATAGACTAAAGATATGAATTTTATTACTTTTTATTTAAAAATATAAATTATATTAATTTTTAAATAAGATAATAAATTTTTAATTTTTTTATTTAAAGTTATTAGCTTTGTATTTTTTATTTAAGTATTAATTAAATATAATATTTATGTGATTAATAACTTTTTAATTATTTAATTAATCTTTAAATTAAAAAATATAAAATTAATATTTTTAAATTAAAAAAATTCAAAATTTATCATCTTATTTAAACCAACAAGGTAAATTTACATTTTTAAATAAAAAAATAATAAAATTCATATCCTTATTTGTACCTTCCTCGAGCCATTTTGAGCAGATGAGCTTGGACCTAGCAATAAACTCCATTTCCAGTTTTCCACACAAAGTAATTATCCTCTCAGTTCTACTTACGGTGCCACAAAACTATGCAAAAGGAAGAAACTCATATAGACATACCCTATCACTCCAAACCAACTATTTTCTTAACCATAATGGCAGAGATCTCAATGATTCAAGAGCATTGACAGAAAAAAGGATGAAATGAAACCAAACCAAGAAAGGTAATCATAGACTCTGATAGCTAAGGCTCATATGTGCAGGTAAAATAAAGTCAGTGGTTTCAAAAAGCTCATGTATGGACTGAGTAACTTGTGTCATGAACTAACAACAAGACCCTCCTGAGCAACATTGGTGTTGGTGACTTGAAGCACAGCCCGTGCGCTTAAAGAAGAGAGTTTAGATCGACGAAAATGCTCCCAAGAGTCCAACTCTGGATGCTTGTGTACTGTTGCTGACAAGAGACAATAGGATTTCTTGTATACAGTTTTACACTCCAGAAGAAGGGTTTGAGCAGCCTCCCTGGACTCACTGTGCTGGGATGCAGCTGCTTGGATCAATCTGTCAATTCCATATACAAAAATCCATGTCCCAGTTGTAGGTGCTTCTTTGTACAATTCAATTATTAGTTGAATAAGCAACATTAATATTCTTATTGAAACTCCAAGAAACAATATTATGATTTGATCTGCATCAACAACAATTAGGAAATGGACCATCCAACAGGAATGTCTAATGTGGAAAAGAAACTAAGACAGTAATGTTGTTATAGACATTGACCAATAGAAACTCTTTCAGTGCTCCATATGATTAGTAAACAAATGAAGTAGCAGTAAGCAAATCAAGCATACTTTTCTTACCAGTTGCAGAACACTTTGAGAAAAGCACATTGATGCCTTGGCTCAAATTCATGGATTTCTGTTTTTGAGATAAGTTTACATCCTTGGCAACAAAACAGTTGGGGAAACCCAAGTGGTCATTGCCTCTAAAGCTTTCTCAGCTGCCTCACAAATGAACTTTTTGTCTCGTGAAGATTTAAGTAAAAGCTGCACAAGCTGCATTTGACGATATTTGGGCATATGTTCACAATATTAGTTGTTCACCCACTATTCACTAGTGAGGAGATAATCATTCAACAAAAATAAAGGCAGCAGTGACTTTAGAGAATATGAAGTACCAGTGGATCCAACAAATCAACTACACGGTCATTAAATGCAATGAAAATGTCTGCAGATGTCATAACTAATAATTAGTGAAAAGGAATTTAAGCATATTAGCATACAGTTTACTTCCAAATATTAGTGAAAAGGAACAAGGGAAAGCTAGGAGTTATACCTCGAGACTTGTCTCAATGTCTTCAAGATCACGTAAGTTCTCAGATTCAAAGTATTCTACTTCTGAATTTGCTACCTCTACTCCAGAATTTTACAGTTTCACCTCCATTAACATGAATGGGAGAAGACTTCTTCCTCTGCTTCTCTTCAACATTTTCATTCATGTTCCCATTGCAAGGTTTTGTAAAACACCCTCTACTGGAGTCATCTTCTTGCTTTCAGATGCAGGTAGACTATTGAGATCTTTAAGAGCATTGATCATGTGAGTTGAATTAAGATGCACAGCAGATAAATGAAGAAGAAAACAAAGTGCAGAAAAACAGCAAACACAGCAATTTACATGGTTCACTACCATAATTTGTGATAGCTACATCCACGGGAGAAGGAGAACACCAAATCCACTATGAAATCAATGATTTACAAGAGATTTGAATAGCCTAAATCACTCAAACCACACTCCAATAAGAGTTCCGAGTACACCCAAACTCACTTTACCCGAGAAAACCCTTTTGATTCTAAAAGAACCACCTTGTTTTCTCTTATGGTGGCTGCCGACTAACTCTCACCCCATTTACCCTAAAAAAAGCTCCTTTATATTTTTAGGAGTACAAAAGGATAATATGGTAATTAAAGAGAGAGCCCAAAACGCACAGCATCACTAAAACATACTTGTGAGGCTTTAAAGATTGCATTTTCTAGTATGATTTTCTAGTATATACCAGATTATGAACCTTCATTGGTTTCATAATCTGCTGCCAACTTCATAAGGCTTTAACATGATTTCAAGGCATACCTCACAAATCTCCACCTTGACTTGAAATTCATCAAATCTCCCAAAGTGAATTTATCCTAGCTCAATCTTTCTCCATACCCCAAAGGGCTCTTACAGCATCATATTGAGCAAGTCCAAGCAATGCTTGAACTTGTTAACTAGGAGGGACTTTGTCAACATATCTGCTGGATTGTTTTCGGTATTAATCTTCTTCACAATAATCTCACCAGAGGAGACTACATCTCGAATAAAATGAAACCTCACATCAATGTGCTTTGTTCTCTCATGAAACAAATAGTCCTTAGCCAAACAAATAGCACTTTGGCTATCACAATGCACATCAATAGCAACACAATCCAAGCTAAACTCCCCAACAAGTCCTCTCAACCATGTTGCCTCCTTAAAAGCCTCTGTCATTGCCATGTACTTTGCTTCAGTAGTCGACAAAGCTACTTTACCTTGCAAAACAGCCTTCCAGCTAATAACACTACCACCAAGAGTGAAAACATAACCTGTCAAAGACCTCCTCTTGTCAAGATCACCGACATAGTCTGAATCAACATAGCCTTGCACACATGTCCCATCTTTCTTGAACTCAAGACAAGTTCCTGTAGTGCCTTTCAAGTATCTCAAGACCCACTTCACTGCTGTCCAATGTTCCTTACCAGGATTAGACATATACCTACTCACAACACTAATTGCATGTGAAATATCTTGTCAAGTTCAAACCATAACATACATCATGTTGCCCACAACACTAGAATATGGAACATGAGACATGTATTCAAGATCTTCATTTGATCGAGGACATAACTGAGCTAACAATTTGAAATGAGATGCTAAAGGAGTACTCACGAGTTTGGCATCTTTCATGTTGAAACGTTCAAGAACCTTCTCAACAAATTTCTTTTGTGAAGGCTTAATTGTTCCACCATGCCTATCCCTATGTATCTCCATACCAAGGATCCTTTTTGCTTAACCCAAATCCTTCATTTCAAACTCACTATTCAACTCTTTCTTTAACTTGTCAATGTCTTCCTTTTTCTTGGCAACAATCAACATGTCATCAACATAAAGTAACAAATAGATAAAAGTGCCATCAACAAGCTTTCTAAGGTAGACACATTGATCATACATGCTTCTATCATAACCATGACTCACCATAAAAGAATCAAATCTCTTATACCATTGCCTAAGAGACTGTTTTAGGCCATAAAGAGATTTTTTCAACAAGCAAACATGA